CACAAAATTTGCTCTGGGGCTGCCGGATAAATGCAGTACGGAGGCAAGGGGCTCACATCACCTCTGCGCCAGCTCCAGCCTCCCCTGCTTCCCCGTCACCAGCACGCTGCTAACCGAATGGCTGCTCGGGGCTCGCGCCTCCAGTTATATGACTCAGGAGCCTCATTTGCAATCACCATTAACCAGAAAAGCCGCATGACTGCTCTGTGCCTACAGTGTCGAGTGTCTTATGATATTCACAGAAACCAAAGGGCTGGAGGAGGCAGCAAGGGAAAGCCTTTAGAATAACACTCACAGAATGAGGACAGCCAGCTCAGCTCCTCCCTCAGCCTTCCCCCGCCCCCGTCTACGGTGCTGTTGGAGCTGTGAAGAGCCTCCAGCCTGGGCAGCAAAGGAAGATGGTGAAATGTCCGGAAGACTGGGGATGCGACCCTCAGACATGGCTGTGTCAGGAAGAGCTGAGCAACCCACACCCTGCCTATGAAACAATCTTATCGGAAGCCTTTAACTGCCTTAAACTAGTTATTCAGGCTGAATACTCCAGGACCACCTCTAAACCTCTAAAAACGATGTTCATGTCTTTAGCGTTCCTTCAGCTGCCTGCCATGCTATGTCAAGCAGAGTTAGTGAAAGCCCCAGGGCAGGCGCGGGATCTCCAAAGATCAGCCCATGAACGGTAGAGGTGAGGGTTGCCCTTGCCCCCCCCCCGCCTCTCCTCAGCTCCCTCCTTTGATGATCCCCAGCCCACCAGCTCCACCATCACTCAGAACACATTCATCCATAAGGGTTGGTCTTAGAATGAAAGGCACATGGATGCTTTAAGTGATGGTACTAAAATGCCCTAATTTTAGATTTAGTATCTGTCAGGCACAAATTAAAGCCGTCATTGTCCCATATGCCCTTCCCACTGTGTGTGTGACTGTGAGTGTGTGTGTGTGTGTCCGTCTGTTTGTCTGTCAACTCAAGGTTAACGGGTAATAATCGAAAAGAGCTCCAGGGACTGGACCGGCTGGATGGAGGTATGAATAGCCTTCCAGGAGAGGTGGGAGAGGTTCCGCCCTCGGGTCTGGGTGCCGGGGAGGGCACTGGGGGTCTCAGCAATGACATTGGCCCTGGTGGGGGCCTTTTGGAAGTCTGCCAGAAAGTGTTTTGCTAGACTTCTTTCAGAACCTCGTTTATCAAGCACTGTGGCTACAGGGAGGAAGTCGCCCAGCCAGCCTCAGCTCAGCGCCTGTCCGCTTGGGAAGCGCTGAGCACTGACCCTAGAGGGGTCTGGCTGCCACTACAGACCCTTCCCTAGAGAGGCCTGGGTGCAGAGACTGGCCAGGTCACCCCTCAAAGGGCACCTCTGGGGATGGGACAGAAGCAGGGAGGGCTGCCCGGGGCAGGGCATTGTACAAGCAGCGAGTGTCGATGGGAGAGGGGCCAGGAGAGAAAGGCTTTCCTGGTTTGGAAACAAGCAAAGGACACGAGGGAGAAAGCAGTGCTGAATCAGGACCAGGAGTCCGCACCCTCCCCGGTGCCAGCCTGCAGCCCGTGGGCCACATTTCAGTGACCTCCATGAATGGGGAAGCAGATGGCAGCCAGCCAAGGTCACCGGCTCCTTGGTGGTCCCTTTTCATGGGGTGGGAAGGAGAAGTGGGGGCCCGGGTCCCTTTAAGGAGCCATCCCTGTAGGCAGAGACAGACAGACAGACACAGGGCAACACGGAGTGCCATTTGCAGTCCACAGAGCCAGCTCTGCTATGGATTCTTCTTGAAGCAGAAAACCCTCCTATTCCAGGCCAGCGACTCTAAACACCCCTTTAAAACAGGGTGGGCTTAAGGAGTGTAATGGCTTTAACTGGGTTGTCTGCATCCCCCAGGAAGGCTTCTGCCTTCCACTTAGAGGGAAAGGCATCAGCTTGCTTGAAGGAATCCCAGGTTACCGAGTAATCGCCATAATAAAATTGAGAATGAAGGTGACCCATAGAAGCATGGTAAATACACAATTTTGTCTGCTCAGTAAGTGAATTTTGATTATAACTCAGCACTTGCCTCAGGTCGTAAAGTACTGCTAGCATTCTCAGGAAAGGACAAAGTGCAAAAAATGCTTCCACAAAGAAAAACACAGGCTTCCCAGCCCTCTTTGTAGCAATATGCAACCTAGAAAATTGAAAGCAAGGTTGCAGCCTCTCTGTCCTTCGTCACCATTTTATGTACCAGCCTGTCATACAAAATGCGGGGAGGCACCACAGATCAATAGCTATTCTGGGTTAACATTGCCACAGCTTTTTTTTTTTTTTCTTTAAAAGAAGAATTTTTCTTCCTATGTGGATCACAGCTTATTACATCTGAGGCATACTTCTGTGGTCTGCCTATGGAAAGGAATGCTGAGAAGGAGCAATTTCTTTCGAGGTTTTATGCATTTTTTAACATCAGTGATGGGGCAGCAATGCTCCTAGAGAACTGTTCCTTTATAAGCTCCAAAGGGTTGTTAGCCCTCAGGTTTGAGAAGCAGGTAAAACTTACCTGATGGGCCACCTGGAGCCTGGATGAGACCTCCCCAGGGGCAACCTGGGATGCGGAAGTCTGTCTCCGCCTGGTACAGCCTCTGTAAATCCTGTGTGTCCTGCTGCAACTCCTGGTAACATTAGCGGCCGTCGATTTGATTTGTTTTTCTGCAGTGACACTCATCTGAGCAAACTCTCTAAGTGGCTTTTTATAGGAAATGAAAAGCCAAATGAGAATGTATGTGAAAAAGTGAGCCATGGGAAATAGCCTCTCAAAGCATATGTCACCTATTTTTATGTTACTAAGTTGGCTGAAGGCTTTAAGTGATAACTTTTGAAGTTCCTAATGGAACCGTACAAATTATGTACGATAATGTAATCTTTTTTCGGAGGAGACCGTTATAAAGCACAACTACCTTGAGTATCATCTCTTTTTCAGCCTCACAGAGTCGTGGAGGAGGCAGGCTAAAGATACATAGGTTCATTTTGCAGGTGAGGGAGGGAAGGCTCAGAGACATCGAGCCCTTCAAGGTCACACAGCTAGTCAGCACTGACCCAAGGACTCCGACACTGACTCTGGACTCCTGAGTCCGGGCAGCAGGACTACCTGTCAATATCCAGGCTGACATCACTGAAACATACACACAGATGCTTTTCACTCCACCCCACACCAAGATCTTAGCACCCTTCTTCCCCTCCGTCACCTGCTGCAGCCAACGAACCATCCAAATTCAAACTTTGGAAATGCTAAGTCTCATAAAAAATTTGTAAAGGTTTTAAAATGCGAAACAGGAATAAACAAAATTTCTTGCCACAGGGAAAACTAAAGCGACAAAACAATGGGAGTTTGAATGCGGTCTCAAAAGTGGCCATAAAATGGAATTCAGCATCATATTTTAATAGGTACATCATACACTCGCTTTGCCAAGGATGACTGGGGGTGAATTCTCATTTATAAAAGTAAGCCATGAAGGGAAAAAGAAAATAGGAGAATGAGGGGAAGAGAGAGGAGGGGAGGGGAGGAGGGAGAAAGGGAGAGAGAGAGTGAGAGAAGGAGGGATTGCAATTGGGGAGGCTGAGTGGTTGAGGGAGATGGTATTAGTCACAGCTTGGGGACCGCGGAAAGCCGGTTCCTAGGTCAGGAGCACCATAGCTGTCCCAGAGTAGCGCATCACCCCTCCATCCAGGAGTGGCCTTGGCATATGGCCCCAGGGGCTCCAGGCAGCTGTCCCTCCTGAGGACTTCCAGGAATTGTGGGGAAGCGGGGGTGGGGGTGTTGCAGGGAGGCATCCTTCAGCACTGGCCTGCAGGGCTCCAGCCGAAGAGAGTTTATAAAGTGATGAGCAACAAGCAACATCGCCCAGCAGCAGTGGTCAGAATGACAGTTCTATTCTGGCAGAGACTATTCCGTGGCTCAGCTGCAGACGTGCCCTTCCCCCGTCACTCCGCCTTGGGTATAATGAGGACAGGAAAGCAACTCCCAAACGAGTCCATTGTTTATTTGGGGACAGAGCCCATTGGGCTCAGACTTTCACACTGGGGGGAGTTCAGCTGCGCCCTCGCACCGCCGCTCCCGCCCTACCTTCCCGTCTCCCCTGCCTCCCCTAGCCAGGGGCTCTGCATTCATTTCCCCCAGCCTTGGCGGTGATGTGAAGCGGTCCCTCCAGCCCTTATTTTGGCTGTTCTCTTAAAGGGCATTGACCTAAAGGCACAAACGCAGCGGCAGCGGCGTCGGAAGCGCAGCCGGGCGGGCGGCCACAGCAAAGAGGCACCCGCAGCGCCTGCGGTGATTCGGGCAGTGGCAGCTCGGGGCCGGTTTCATTTCGATACTCTTGAAGCAAATCTGCCCCTCCTGTCCTCCGCGCACCGGGCGCATCTAGCTCGAAGGAAGGAAAGAAGACAAACTCCTCCCGACATCCCCGCCCCCCGATCCCCACTCACGCCGAGTCTGAGCACAAGGGGAAAACACTCTGAAGAAGGAGCCCTCTCCCCAACTCCCAGATCCCTGCCTCGGGGTTCCTGTCCCCCCACTCCGACCCCAGTTACTTCAGTGGCAGCCAGAGGAGCTTCCTAAATCCGTGTGCTCGCCTGCCTTTCCAGCACGTGGGACAGACTGCGATTTGAATAACTTTTCAAATCCTGTCTCCTAAACACTTGCCCACAAATATTTGGGAGAGAGAGGGGCAAGCCCCCTGCTCTGTCCACCGCCCTCACTTCTGACCTCCGCCCCACTCCTAGGCTGACAGCGTGGAAAAAAAAAAAAAAAACACTCTCACTCCAGTTGCTCTTGCCAGTCGGGGAAACAACACACTGTCGCCGAGAGCATGCAACCACCAAGAGAGGGAGAATGAGCCCCGAGGCCCCGGCCCCGGGTACCCAACACCGTCCTGGCGCCAGTGGACCAGCCTTTGCCGCGAGTTCCCCGCGCTCGCGGGAGGGTCACAGACGCCCCCGGAGGGTGGACTTGAACCCAAGCCGCGGGAACATCAAGCGCGAGAGAGCCACTCACCTTTAGGTTGTGCGTGGGGTTTACAACGCAGACAAGTTGCCCAGCGGCGGCGAACACCCGTTTAGCCTTGTAGTGCTGAAAGCGGAGGTGAATGAGATCTAACACAGCCCCAAAGCACTGGGTGAAGAAAAGCATCACAACTTTTTTGGGGGGGGTTGTTGGCACAGGAAGGCAGCGGAGGAAGCTGTAAGTCCTTGGGCTCTGGAAGGAGCGCAGCCCCTGAGACGCTACGCTCCAGCCCGGCTTACTGTGCTTTCGTATTCATCATCAAAATAAGACGGTTAGAATCTTGCAGCAGTGAGGCGGCCAATCAAAAGGACAGAAATGTTATCCTTGAGGTGCAGAGACAGCCAATAACAAATGCCTCCCCTACCGAAACTCCCTGATGAATTGAGCCTGGCGGAGAATGTATTATTGAACATTACCATAGATCAGCACATTGCATTTATCTTGTGATTACAGCCAACCATACATAATGCTGGGGAGATAGGCTGACAAAATTGATTGCTTAATGTGTCTCCATTTATTAATTGACTTAATTTAACATGAGAGGCTTTCTTAACGCGCTGGCAAAAACGTAAAGCATTTAAACCGCCAAATAGTAAAACACCCTGCTCCAAAGTAAGCAGATGGATAACGCAGATCGCGGCTTGATTCACCAGAGCTGCTTGGGAGAAAATCAAATATTACAAGACTCCTCCGATTCCAGATAAGGGTTTGGCAACAGCAGAAACGTGCATCTTTCAATCTTGTGCTCCGACTCTCTCTGCAGTTTGGATTTCAGCCCCTTGATAAATCTGACTCTCCACTCTTTATCAGAGAAGAAGCATTCCTGACAAATAAATGCTTTTGGAGTTGAGGGGGAAAAATGTATGTATATCTATAATACTGTAATTACTGAAGCCTGAAAATATTAAAGCATAAAAGTGTACGGAGTATGCTTCTAAAAATAATGAAATCCCTGATGCATGAATGCACACACACAGAAAAACCTACACAGAGAGGAGAGTGGCTTGTAAATCAGCAAAATAATTACAGATGCGGAGGGCTTTTGCTTGTCATTCATTTGCATATTGGTGGGCAGCAAATTGCTAATTAACCACTAGATTGTTGGAGACGTTAAAATAGAGGTTAAGAGCACACATACAACATCATTTGCTTGTCTCTGCAAATGCCAGTAGCACATTTCTGTGCTAGAGAAGGCAGAGGGCATTCCAGTCCTCAGACTGCACTCCCTCTCTCTCCAGAACTGGGCTGGTAGAGGTGCTAAGCCCATCCACTGGTTCTGGAAGAAAGGCTCCTGTGCAGTACACGAGGAGTCTTAGGGTTTGGGGGGAACAAGCTCTGATGGCTTAGTCAGTCTTTGGGACTAAATCAGGAGAATTGCATGTGTTGTGTTTCTCATTCTCTTTGGTTGTTTCTCGGCTGGGAAGCCAGCCCAGACGCAGTGAGCCTGTGTGAGCATCAGTCTTGGGTGTGAATTACACTCAGAGTGTGAGCCCATTACTTCTTCCTGAATGGCTCTCGCTCCACTCCGGCTACAGTACTTGGGTTGTAACGTAGGCAAAGCGTACACACACCTGGGACACCTACATCTGTGACCTGGTCAGGCAATTAAACCAACTACTGATTGAAGTATAGGGGGGAAAAGTACAGTTTTCCTGAAACCAGGACAAAGCCTAGGTGTTGGTTTTCACTTGAGTTTAAAACCAAACCAATGTGTTCAGAAACAAATAAGCCAAGCACCATTTAAAATGGAAACTTTGTACTTTCTAGAATAATTGCACTGGCACAAAATTAGAAGATGACAACATTTGAACTGATTAGAACCTCATCTGTATGATGCTTTTATAGGATATGAGTCCCCGGACCCATGCATAATATGGTTCATAGATAAGAGTTGCTGACCTACAATACCAGAATTCTCTTTGTAAAGTTTTCATTTTCCAGAACAAGCTTTCAGCAGTTCAGCAGGAAAACATTCAGTATTCTTTTATTGCCTTCCTTAAAAGAAATAAATAAAAGTGACCATACTCCACCAGTTCATAATTCAGAAGGTCCGAACTTCCTCTTTCCACATCCTTTGTTAGAGTGGAACTATTATGCTGTTTGTTTCTACCTCTGGGTAACCTCAGACAGGTTTCTTAAAACCTCACTTAGGCTCAGTTCCCACGCCTGTAACATGGGGATAATAGCAAATTATTTCCCTCTCAAAGTTATTGTGAAGGCTAAGATGATGTACCTGGAAGAGCCCAGCACAGTGCCTGATTCAAAGCAGGCTTTCAATACTTGAGTCTATTGAGTGTCTTGTGGAAGAGTGATTATGTTCAGAATGTTTTTCCTTCCTGTTCCGCAAAATATTTTTCCCCATGAATATTCACCCTACCATCCAGGGTCACAAAAGCAGAGGACATAAGAGCAGACTTGACTCTTGCTATGTTCTTAAGGGTGGATGTTCCTGGTGTTACCTGGACAGTGGGTCTGGGAGTGAGGGCTGAAGGGCTAAGGAGTGCATATTGACATCAGTGGTGAGAACAGAGCCACAGACCCGCTATTATGGATGGTTTTCCTTAATCCCAGACCTGACCTTTTGTCCTACTCTCGAGCCCCAAACTGGTTTACGTCACTCTACTTTCGAATATTAAGCATACCCATCTGTTCTCGGAATCAGTCCTCAAAATAATCATCCATCGGGAAATGTCTGAAGCTAACCCTGATGACAAACGCTCATGGTTAATGTCCCCCAAAACAGGGTGGCACAAACTAGCCTTCGTGTAGAGATTTAGAGCTGTGTTCACCTCTTGCCACTAAGTTGGCCCCTCTGCGGTAGCCACACCAATCCTCTCATGCTGCACTACGATGCCCAAGGCTTCCCGTTCACCTGCAGAGCAACCAGCTTTACCTTTTATCTGGACCAGCAAGTCTCAGAGATTGGTAATTAGACAAATTTGGATTGAAAGCCTACATTGCTGCTTACTGTTACTTTGGGTAAATTATGTAATCTTACTGACACTTAGTTTTGTTTGTCTGTAAAAATGAAGCTAATGACTCCCTTGTAAAGCAGTTTAAAGATGAAGTGAGATAATATAAGTAAAATAACCAGCCCAATGACTGGTTTTCATAATAACTTTAATGAGAAGCTATTATCATCATCTCATCAAAAAAATTTTTGTCCAGGGCAGCCCAAAGTTCCGCTGAGCATATAGAACAACCAAAATTCTCATGCACTGCTGGAAACCACTTTGGAAAGCTGCTTGGAAGCATCTAGTAAAGCCAAACATATGGGTACCCTATGACCCAGAAAGCCCACTCCATGTACCCAACAGAGATGTGAGCATGTGCTTAGCAAAAGACTGGTACTAGGATTTTCATTGCAATGTATTCATAATATAGTTTCATAGCAACTGTAGTCACAATAGATAAAAACTGGAAACAACCTCAGTATCTCTCAAAAATAAGATGGATAAGTTACATTATTTTTTTCCTTCCTTTGTTAAATACTACATAAAAAATAGAATAAACTATCGCTACGTGCAGCAAGGCAATAACATGGATGGATCTTACAGATACAGTTTTGAGGTAGAAAAGCCACATGCAAAAGAATACATGTTGTGTGATTCCATTTATATGAAGTTCAGGAACATAGAATAGGTTATTCACGGGGCAGGAGATCGGGAGATTGGTAACCTTGGCAAGGGGTTACGACCGAAGGGGACATGGGGTAGGTTTTAGAAAGCTAGGTAGATTCTGTTTCTTGATCTGTGTTCTAGTTTCATGAATATTGTGGATTGACTTGTTTTCCTGAAAACAGATATGCTGAAGCCCTAATCCCCAGTGCCTCAGAATGTGACCTTATTTGGAAATAGGGTCATTACAGAGGTCATCAAGTTAACATGAGGTCATTCGTGTGGGCTTTAATCCAATATGACTAGTGCTCATCTAAAAAGGGAGAATTTTGATGTAGAGATATACACACAGGGAGGATGCCACATGAACGTGAAGACAGAGATCGGGACAGTACATCTATAAGCTGAGGAACACCAGAGATGACCAGCAAACCACCAGAAGCCAAGGGAGAGGCATGGAAAAGATTCTCCCTCATAGCCTCCAGGAGGAACCAACCCTGCTGACACGTTGACATCAGACTTCTAAGATGTCTCCAGCACTGCCAAGACAATAGATTTATGCTGTTTAAGCCACCCAGTTTGTGGTACTTTGTTATGGCAGCCCTAGAAAACAATACAATGGATATATCTGTTGGGTGGAAATTCTTTAGGCTGTGAACTTATGATCAATGCCCTTTTCTGTATGTAAGGTATATGCCCCAATTATACTGAAATAACATGTGGATGAGCATATAATTGAACTTTGAAGTAGTGAAGTATTCATAAAGATTTTAAAAGTTTATTGAAGTAATCACAAAGGAAAATACTTGGTTACATAAAATGTTAAACTCTATGTCAAAATAATGTCTGACAACTGACATTGAAAAAACCCAAAATACTGAGGGATATATTTGCAGCAATTATGACAGCAAAAGATTTGTATTCCTAATAAAGAACTCTTGTATATCATTTTAAAGAACTAAAATTATATAAAACAAGATAGACAGAGGATATACACAGAGTACACAGAAGAAATTTAAAAATTCATAAATGAATGGTAGATGTTCAATATAACTAGAAATCAAAGAAATGCATTAAAACAAGATGGCATCTTTGGGCTTCCCTGGTGGCGCAGTGGCAGAGAGTCCGCCTGCCGATGCAGGGGACGCGGGTTCGTGCCCCGGTCCGGGAAGATCCCACGTGCCGCGGAGCGGCTGGGCCCGTGAGCCATGGCCGCTGGGCCTGCGCGTCTGGAGCCTGTGCTCTGCAACGGGAGAGGCCACAACAGTGAGAGGCCCGCGTACCGCAAAAAAAAAAACAAAACCAAAAAATCAAGATGGCATCTCTTATGTGTCAAATTGGCACTTTTTATTTTTAAACAATAATAACCAGGGCTGATGAATCTTCATTGAGAAGGACATTGTCCTCTGCTGCTGATGTGAATAATAATAACAAACATTTAAATGCTTTGTAGATATCAGGCACTATGCTAAATAGTTGGCCTTTGTAGTCAAGTATATCTACAGTCAAATATCTTATTTTCCTTTTCACAGTAACCCCATCAGATGTTCTTCTCGTTTCCAGACAAGAAAGCTGTGGCTCAGGAATATTAACTTGTCCACGGTTACCTAACTAGTAAACGGTAAAGGTAGGATTTGACCCCAGACTTCTGCAGTGCCAGATACTGAGATTTACTGCCTCTGAGAGTGTATACTTGTTGTACCCTTTTCTTGAAAACAATTTGACAATATGCATTAGCTGCCTAAGAAGGTCCATAAACTTTGACCTTCTAACTAAATATCTAGAAATCTGTTCTTATGATATAAACAGAAATGTCAACAAATATTTAAGTATGAGGATGTTCATTGTTGTATCACTTATACTACTGGAAATGATAGAAAGAACCTATGTGTCCAACATTATTTAAGTGGACTTAAGTAATTTAAGATACATCTAGCCACAGCATGGAATAAACTATAGCTGTAAAAATAGGTTTCTGGAAAAAGTATAGAAAGACGTATGCATAAAGCTATTCACTGTGGCACTATTTGTAATAGTTCAAGACTAGAAACCTCCACATTATCCCTCCATAGGGGACTGGCTGAATAAACTGTATACATTTATCAAATGGTGACAATTAACCATAAAAAGAAATGACAGTTATCTCCAAATACTGCTAAGCAATGAATTCAGGTTATCTTGGTAGATTAAAAAAAAGTAATGTGAAGAATTTTGTGCATAACATGAAAATATTTATCTTAGAATGGGGGATATCTATTTATTTGTTATTTATGTTTTAAAAATGGAAGAATGAATTAAAAACTAACAACAGGGCTTCCCTGCTGGCGCAGTGGTTGAGAGTCCGCCTGCCGATGCAGGGGACACGGGTTCGTGCCCCAGTCCGGGAAGATCCCACATGCTGCAGAGCGGCTAGGCCCGTGAGCCATGGCTGCTGAGCCTGTGCGTCTGGAGCCTGTGCTCTGCAACGGGAGAGGCCACAACAGTGAGAGGCCCGCGTACCGCAAATAAACCCCAACAAAACAAAAATAAAAACTAACAACAAAGTTACTTATAGGGGCGAAAAGGGAAGAGGGTAGAGGAGGCAAAAATAAAGGTAGACTTCTCTGAATATATCTTGTTCTGTAGTTGGACTTCAAAACCTTGAAATTATTTTATAAAATTATAAAACAAAAATAAAAATCTTCAAAAGTCAAAACCAAAATAAAACAAATCAACTATTTGACAAGTTGGTGGCATATGCACACAGAAAAGACAATTTTAAGTTACTTTGGAACACAGTAAGATGACTATAAATCCTTAGTAAAATGTACTCCAAAGACAGAAAGTTCAAAAAAGTTAACTACCTTTAGCACATGTATTGCCGGTGGTAGTGTCTGTAGTGGTTTAAAAATATATCACCGCCTTCAGAAAGTGGAGCCTAATCTCTCTCCCCTTGAACGTGAACCAGACTTGATGACTTACTTCTGATGAAGTGTGGAAATGATGATGTGTGATTTTTGAAGCTAGATCATCAAAGGAATTGCAGTTTCCCCATTGTTCTCTTGGATCACTTGCTCTGGGGCCGGATTTCATGCCATGAAGACATTCAACTAGCCCTCTGGAGAGGCCTATATGGAAAGGAACTAATGTCTCATGCTAACAGCCAGTACCAGCTTGCCAACCGTGCAGATGAGATACTTTGGAAGCAGATCCTTCACCCTTGGTCAAGCCTTCAGATAGCTGCACCTCTGGTCAAATGCTTTACTGCAACCTATAAGAAACTCCCCACCAGAACTACCTAACTGAGCTGCTCTCAGATTCCTAACTCACAGAAACTGTGACATAATAGTTGTTTAGTGTTACTTTAAGCCGCTAAGTTTTGGGATAATCTGTCATGTAGAAATAGATAGCGAATACAGAATCTGTTCCAGGACTGGGGTGCTGCCATGACAAAACCGTAAAATTTATGAGTGGCTTTGGAACTGGGCAGTGGACAGAAGCTGAGAGTATTAATGAAAGCCTAAAGGGCCTCGAGAAGACTGTGAATAGAAGCCCAAGGTCAAGAAGGGCTTATTTTGGAAGGGTTTGTGAATGTGGTTTTGTTTGAGTGGGCTACACCCAGAATCATAGGAGATCCATAAAGTTTTTAAGAGAAGTAAACTGGCAGAAGTACCACATGGATTGGATTGAAAGGGGCAGAATCAGTATAAAATGATAAGAGGCCTTTGGACCCTGAAGCTTCTACTGGTAGGAAGGAAGCTGAGAATACTCTTCAGTAGAAAACATGGGCTACGTTTTATGAAAAAGAGAGGATGACCTACAGGGTGGAAACAAGAGCTCAGAGGCTGGAGCTTAAAGCTGTGGAGACTCATTTTCAGACCTGGAGTCCTAAACAAGAAACTTTCAACATTTGCCCTGATGCATTTTCCTATCTTTTGCTTCTGTGTGTCTCCTATTTTCCTTTATTTTGAATGATGGTAGTGGTGGTGGGGTGATGGTCCATGGTAGTTATCCTGTGCTTACCCTACCATTGGATGTTGTGTGTGTGTGTGTGTGTGTGTGTGTGTGTGTGTGTAGGTGGCAATTAACTTTTCTTTTTAGATCATAGGTCTTCATATTGTGAGGAACTGTACTCGAGGAGCTGTTCTCTAGGACACCTGAGGAGTCTCCTCCACACTTGTACATGATTTAGTACCAAGATCATGGACTTCAAGCTGATGCTCTAAGAGAATAAGACATTGGGGAAGTCTTTGGTAGGGGTGAGTATATTTTACATTTATAATGTAAATTAAGTTGCAGCCAGAGAGTGAAAAGAAATATGCCTGCAAATTCTTTGACATTCCCCTTTCAGTGGGTAGAGACTAATTCTTCTCCCTTTGAATATGAGCCATACGCAGTGATTCACTTATAACAATAGAATGTGGTAGACGTGACACTGTGTGATTTTTGAGGCTAGATTACCAAAGGCCTTGCCATTCACACCTTGCATCCTTGAATAGCTCACTTTGGGGGAAGCCAGAAATCATACCATCTGGACCCTCCAGCAGCCCTCTGAGACCCACTGAAGTCTTCTTTCAACACCCAGCGTCAACTTGGTAGCCATGTCAGTAGGTCCCCTTGGAAGCAGATCTCCCAGCCCCTTTCGTACCTTCATATGACTGTGGCCCTGGCTAACATCTTGTCTGCAATCTCATGAGAGACCCAGACCCAGACCGTGCAGCTAAGCTGCTTCTGATTTGCTGATCCATAGAAACTGTGACATAATTAGTGTTTATTGTTGCTTTGAACCATTGGTTTTGCAGTAATTTGATGTGTGTGTATTGTTAATGAAGCAAATAAGTAATTATGTTGGTGTCATTGATGTAAGGGAAAGGAGCCACAGGTGTAAGATTGATGAGGTTAGAAAAAATACTGTAATCTTGAATTCAAATGGCGATCATTGCAACGGCATATTTTATGTTAAAGGGCAGTAAGAGCAGAAGGAGAGGAGGAGGGACAAGGGAAAGTGAAAGCAGAGTTCCTTAATTCTGTCCACAGAAAAGACCTCGAAAATGAATACCTGAAAACCCAGATTCTATATAAAATTTCCCACTTAAAAGCAAACAAACTAGATCTCTTTAAAGAAATGGCTCGTTCTAGATCTGGAGCAGAAATGTTTAAGATGAGCCTGGAACATCCCATAACAACAGAAAGTAAGGATGCAATGTTTTTTAAAAGTACTAGAGGGCTTCCCTGGTGGCGCAGTGGTTGAGAGTCCGCCTGCAGATGCAGGGGACGCGGGTTCGTGCCCCCGGTCCGGGAGGATCCCACATGCCGCGGAGCGGCTGGGCCCGTGAGCCATGGTCGCTGCGCCTGCGCGTCCGGAGCCTGTGCTCCGCAACGGGAGAGGCCACAACAGTGAGAGGCCCGCGGACCGCAAAAAAAAAAAAAAAAAATACTAGAAAAAAAATGCGAGGATCTTTTTCAGGATTTAGAAAGCAACGTGAAGAGGCTCCCACGGCCTGAAGATGGGACGGTTGGAGCATGATTAAGAATAATAACTGCAAGGGACTGAAACACATCAAATATGTTTAAATCCACACGTACATAATGATACCAGCAAAACTAATTAGTTCCCTTTGCATGGTGCTTGGCACTTAATTCATTATTTTGATAACTGGCAAATAAAGGGAATAAATAAGGTATTTATCCTGCCTTTCTTCGATGAACTGTACCTCAGTGTAATTAAATAGTCAGTGAGGAGAAGTTTCTCTTTATAGCAGTTAACGAATGAAGAAATAATGGTAAAATTAGAATATTCACCTTTTTGAAATTCCTAATGAAGTAAGGGATCTGGGCAGTGATCATCATTGGCTGCTGACATCACAGAAAGACAACCAGGTATTGGGTACCTCCTGGGAAGTCACAACAGAGCATTCTTACCAAAGTAACAACATGAATCTGATCAATCTTTGGGATGTAGCTACTTATCTTCAGGAGATACAGGGGACAGAGGAACATGATAAATGACAACATGGAGATCCAATTAGCAAAATCCAGGGCGTAGGAAACTCTACAGGAAAAATGACCAGGTTCTTTAATAAATAAATAAAACAGTGCTTAGAGAGAGAGGGATGGGGAAAAGGAGAGAGAGAGAAAGACATCATGTTTCAAATGGTTTTTACAATGTGCAAAAATGCCCAATGTATATTAAGTTAGGAAAATCAGAATATAAAATTGTATTTATAAAACAAATCCATCTTACTTTCTGAAGAAACATATAGCACAAGAGAAAAAAATGTTCAAAAATAGTAACAATGTGTGTGGGTAGAAGGATTGTTGGTAATTTTGGAATATTGTATTTTTCAAATCTGTTTTAAGATGGAAATATTTTTATAATCACTGTCTCTCTTGGAATAAGGACAAATAGATAAATTACTAAAAATATGTCTATAGTGAGGGGAAAAAAAGCATATTACTTTAACACTTGTTTTACATGTGGTGGCCCTGTGCTGTCCATTGAGATTCCGTTTTCTGCAAGAACACTGACTAATGCCATTGTAGTGTGTTGATGGGTCCCATCTCCCTAGTATCAAGCATATATTTTATTAAGGGTCCTTTGGGAAAGACCTGAATTCAAAGGAATAAGCCAGCCCTTCTAACTCTGAGATGGGCATGAGAAGTTAGCCCTCACATAACTGTTGAGGAAGGTCAGCATCTGAATTATGAAGTCTGGCTTTTGGTAGGTGATGAACAGGAAAAGGAAACAGACCACCTCGACATAGCCCAGGTTGGGTACAGATGGTCTAAAAGCAACAAGTTTATTCTGTAATGTTGCCAAGGCAACAGCAGCTGCTTCTGGCATTGCGGAGGGTGAGGGAGGGAGAAAACAGGAGAAATAAAGAGGCAGAATGATCCTGTACATCTTTCCTAGGAAAATAGGAAAGAATACTGACTATTTTCTGGGTGAACATGCTTCCATAACGCTTAAAGTGTCATCAGTGAAAGGCAAATGGTGTTTTTCATAAACAGGAACGCGGTCCCTCTTGTCATATTGTCATTTTCCCGTCTATGACTCCAAACAGCGGTGGATGGGGCTTTCTTACAGCTCTATCCCCTTGAGTGTTAAAACACCTTGATGTTTTCTTGTGACAGTTACTGCAGCATCTATTCACGTGGCTGAAAGATGCTTATGTTTTGACTGTGTCTGGATTTGCAAGGGAAGAAGAGAGGAAAGGAATAGCCTTGGCCCTTTTCCTCCTCTTCTCCTCCCCTTAGCTCCTGCCTCCAGATCTTTCTACCTGCAAAGGAAGAGGATGAAGCAAGGAGAATGTGGCAGTGAGGAGGGAAAGAGAGCAGCAGGTCTGGGGAGTGTGCTAGAGATATTTTCAGCCAAGGGCTACCCGGCCACAAGGCAGCCCGCATGGGGACACTGGGAGCCTGGGAAGAGTTGAGTCAGGGTGACGTAAGCAGGGCTGGAGCCCAGCTCTGCATGTGATGGCCTCAGAGAGAGAGATCAGAGTTGGAGATGAAGACAGAGCTACAGAGACGGTCGGTGGTAGATGTTGAGCATCAACATCATTCTCGAACTGGAGAAACTCACAGCTCTGATGCCCTGGCTCAGGGGAAGACTCTCTTTCCTGCCTGAACCTCATTTTGTGTGTTCAGAACCTGAAACAGTCTCTGGGCAGTTTTCACTTGCTCAGAAGGGAAGAGAATTTAGAGCCCTGCTCGTGCCCAGTTGAGGCTGAATATTTTTTCAAATGCCAAACCACTTTTAACACAGCAGAATGGCCTAGAGATCAAAAGTCTGAACTTGAGAGTCAGGCAAGTCAGGGGAGCCTGGATCTCCTGACTGGAGCTTCCGCTCCAGCTGCTTATTCATTACTTGTTATATATTATTTCACTGGCGTCACATTTACAAGGATGGAAGCAGGTGGCTCAGCTGTGCCAGGCCTTAGCTTCCTCTCTGTCGGTGGGGATGCCAGGGCCAGCCTCCTAGTGTTGGGTTGTGACTAGGACTGCACAGTGGACTGCAGTTCAAGTCCACTGTGCCTAGTGTTGGCACAGCTTCTGTGACATTACTGTTATTATCATCTCATTCGTCTTTGAACATGTCTTTGAAAAGTGGGAAGGAATAGAGTTCACCTGTGCTTGCTTCTTGGATTTGAAAGTGACACTAGAGTAGGTAGAAACCCTGACCAGAAAGTTAGGTCACAAGTTGGCCATGGACCTGTATTAGGGTTCTCTAGAAAAACAAAATCAGCAGGAGATTTTATATATACATATATATATATATATATATATAATGTAATATTATATATATAATATGTTATATATTATCTCTATTACATATAGCTATAATTACATATAATATATATCTATAATCTCTATGTATTAAAGAGAGAGAGAGCAGGGGCTGGGGAGTTGGAATTTATTTTAAGGAATTGGTGCACACATCATGGATGCTGGCAAGTTCAAAATCTGCAGGGCAGGCCAGCAGCCTAGAGGCCCAGGGAAGAGCCGACGCTGCAGTTCAAGTCCACAGGCAGTCTGGAGGCAGAACTTCCTCTTCTTAAGAGGAAATGAGTTTTTTCTATTAAGGCCTTCAACTAATTGGATGAAGCCTGCCCACATTATGGAGGGTAATTTGCTCTACTCAAAGTTTGCTGATTTAAGTGTTAAGCTCATCAAAAAATACTTTCACAGAATTATGTAGAGTTATGTTTGACCAAATATCTGAGTACCATCACCTAGCCAAGTTGACAGATAAAATTGACCATGACAGGGCCCCTTAGAGCACCGTCCAAACATTGGTACCTCCTCACGAGTCAGTAACCATGACCCCAGAGAGTCACTCACACAATAAATAAGTTCCATTAATGCAGCTCATTTCATGGCATCTGCAGAATAGCTGGGACCAGATTTCAGTTTTTCTTTATTTGTGCTGCACCCTTCTTTAGGAGAAAATCAAAGCACAGCAAAAGTTGATAGCAGGAATTATGTCAAAAAAGGAATTTCTACCACAGGTCCTGGGGTTAATATGTATTTATTCCAATCTCTTAAATATTAAGCAAAAGAGGGAAATATTTAAAGGGAGCTCTAGACTGGGGACCAGAGGTTCAACACTCCACCCTGCCACTTAGGCAAGTGTCCTGATCCATAGTGAGGTGGATAATCACACCTGCACCAAATCAGGTAGCGGGGAGGACTTGCCACGATCATCTGTGTCAAAGTGCACAGATATCGGGCTTCTCTGGTGGCGCAGTGGTTGAGAGTC